AGCGGGAGACGCTATTGCAAATGGTGGTAGTGATCCACGAGCGGCTGTCACATCAACGATGACGGCAGGGACAGGCACCCCGCAAGATCCTTTGACGAGATCTCCTCCTGAGCCACGATGGCACACAACAGAGTTCAAGCTGTACTACGCCGTGTTTATTGTTGTTGTACCTGCCATGGTCAGAGCAGCAACTCAGTTGAGCAGAGGTGAACATGCACGCGCGATCGACCCGATCCTTCATCAAAACTTTTTACTAATTCTCGCGGCGATCCGCCTGTTCGGTTCGTTGTGCAGTCAAACATCCAACATACTTTTTGTACGCTCATCGATTGGCACCAGGCTGGATGTTTGGATGGCAGGTGGTCAGCTTTGAATCACTTTGTCCTCGCCTTTTTGACTATGCGTTTGGCTGAACAGTCTGCCGTCTCCCGTCACGCAGGACCAATCTGACGACCAATGGTACACAGTCAGATCACATCTACCCATGTTGGCAGCTTTGCTTGTCTTGTGGCTCCTTCTGTCAGCATTGCACAACTTGATCTCAAACTCGACTCGACGCCACCAATCTCGTCAGTTGTCGTCTCATCAACGAGAACCTGACACTACAGTACGCATGCCACCGAGGGCAAAATTTATCCTTACGTTTGCCATCGTTCTGTTGACTGCGTTGCATGGCACTTCAATGCCGAAAATGTTAATCATTTTGTGGATCAACTATCAAATCGCTCTCACTGCCGCTTGGGGTCGTCCGTGGACAAAGTTGACACCGTTGTTGACGTGGGGTTTCAACTTGGCTGTGCTCTTTTCAAACGAAGTGTTTGAAGGTTACAAGTGGTCTTGGATTGGATTGGCAGTCTTGGTGAGCTCAGGACCGCATCTCAGCGTTGACTGCAGAGTCGCGCTCACCAGTCTCTTTCGCAATTTGATAACCTTTCAGGACGATGAAAAGTACCATGGAATTTTGCCGAGGTGGCACATCAATTGGAACATTACAATGCTAAGATTGATCAGCTTCAATTTGGATTACTACTGGGCAACCACATCTCATCCACCTCCCCCTCCACCACTTGACGGTCACTTGACTGAAAAATCTGAAAAGGTTGGCTCTCCTCTTGTCTAATGTGGTCTCTGAACGATACTGACACGCGTAGCATACAGACCTCCGCATTTGGAGCCTCGAGCACGGCGAACAACACCACTACTCGTTCATCACCTTCATCAACGTCGCATCCACTTCAAATGTATTCTTTCTCAATGTACCTTACGTATGCTCTATACCCACCATTGTATCTAGCTGGACCCATCATCACTTTCAATTCATTCGTTTCTCAATTGGTTTCACCACCTTTGATCTCACGTAAACTCTTGCTTGGTTACGCGACGAGATTCTTAGTTTGTTTGTTGACGATGGAGTTGGTTACACATTCAATGTATGTTGTTGCTATCAAAGATGAAAGCAGAGGTGGATTGGGTGGCGCTTGGGATGGGGCGACACCATTTCAATTGAGTATGGTTGGATTTTGGAATTTGATTGTAGTCTGGTTAAAAGTGAGTGACTCGTTGGATCGATTGCACGAATGACTGCTCGTCTTCAATAACTGATGTGTCCACGGATTAAATTGAGGAAAACAGTTGTTGATCCCTTGGAGATTCTTTCGTTTGTGGGCTTTGTTGGATGGTATTGATCCACCTGAAAACATGGTTAGATGTATGGCCAACAATTATTCGACCATGGGTTTTTGGAGATCTTGGCATAGGTCGTTCAATTTATGGACCGTCAGGTGGGTTTGCTTTGTCTGAGCATTGACGCAATGACGCCATCGAACTCAATACAAAATCTTCTTGCCGCCATGACAGATATCTTTACATTCCCCTCGGTGGATCGTCGAGAGCTTTGTTGTCTACCTTGACAGTGTTTACATTTGTCGCTTTGTGGCATGATTTGTCACTCAAGTTGTTGACGTGGGGTTGGGTCATAACACTTTTTGTTATTCCTGAAATGTTGGCCAAGAAATTACTTCCTTATAACAAGGTATGCCTTGCTGATGTTTGCGCAGCTTAATCATGTTCGTTAAAAATTGACTCGTGTTGGCTTCGCAGTTTGGTTCTAGACCGTGGTACAGACACGTGGCCGCCTTTGGAGGAGTTTTGAACGTACTCATGATGATGACTGGTAATTTGATTGGTTTCGCAATTGGAACGGATGGGATGAAATACATGTGGCAACAAATCATTGGAACTTGGGCTGGCATCAGGTTCATGATTGTGGCCATGGGTTGCTTGTTCGTTGCTGTGCAGGTCATGTTTGAGTACAGGTGAGTGTAGCCGTGTTTATAAGCCAGTAACCCACGAAGCTGAATCTTTGATGAACAACAGGGAGGAAGAACGACGGAGAGGGATCTCGCGCAAGTGTTGAGTCGGCGTCGCGGTCTTTGATACTGGCGTCGTTGCAATAGACATTTCATCAATTGCAAAAGTGATCTTCATGCGCTGCTTCCCGCGTACTGATTCTCGGTCGGAGACGAGCGCGTTTCAATCAGACCCACACCTGCTGACGGTCTACTCGTCGTCGTCCTCGGCTTCTACCATGGCAATCTGCCACTCTCCCGCAACATCCCACCTCGAGCCAGGAGCTCGACTGCTCAAGTATTTGACAAACTTCATGACTCCAGGATCTCTCAGCACAAGCGACAGTTGGTTCCAATCAGGTCTGAACGCCAACAGAGGTCCATCATCTTCCTCTTCATCTTGTGCCTGATCTTCTTCACCCTCTCGCTGCTGTTGCGCTTGCTCACTCTCGTTCTTGCTCTTGTTGCCGCCACCGTATGTTGCCTCGTCACCTCCTTCCTCGCTCACGAGCCACAGGTCCCATCCACCAACGTCCCCACTTTCCCACAATTCGTCATCTCGTTCGTCTCGTGGCTTTGGTGTCAATCCCAATCCTACGTCCAACTTCGCCTCACCTTCAACTTCATCTTCCTCACCTGACGACAAAGGTTCACCTCTGGCCAAAGTGTAATCCAAACCAGGTCTGAACCTTCTAACGTGACAAGTATGACTCAGACACAGCAAATTTGTCAAAGATTGTAACAAGTTTCTGAAAGGTTCAGATGTCATGACGTGATGCACTTGCTTCAACAACGTCACGAGTCGGTCTTGCGTCTTGGTTCTCGAGTCGAGAGTCACGAAACGTTGAATGTGAGGTGGACCAACGATTGTCCAACCATCTCCCTCACCTTGATCATGTCTTGGAATCAAATCAGTCATTCTGCCATTGACGAGTTGACTTCTCCTGTCCTTGTCTAACTTGGCATCAACCTTACGAACCAGAGATTCGATCTCGTCGGCTAACTGAGGTTGTAAAAAGTTTGCCAACAAGAGTTGAGATTCTTCAACGAATCGTGCTTGAAGTTGAGAGATGATGTCGGCAGTGAAGTAGACCGGATTAATGAATTGCTTTAGGTAGTCGATGTCGGTTGACAATGGCACAGTGGGCAGAGGTAACGTTGGTTCGATCGAGTATTCTGTCGGCGGTTCAAGTGTCGTGGCGTACTTTTGAACGCGTTCTTCAGCTCGGATTCGCCCGAGGGGGTCACGGCTAAACTCACCAATTGTTGCAAACTGCTCTTGGCAGCAAATTTCTCATCACCTTCATAGCCGTCTTCACCTTTGACAGGCTTGTGGAACCATCCTGACAAGCTAACTCTTGCGCCTTTGCCACCTCTTTTGCCAACTTCGCCTTCAACTACAACTTCCTCGACCGAATGGAACGAGTGACCTGGTTGAACCTCGAAAAAGGCAAATTGGTTGAACGATGGCTGCAAGAGGACACGTCAGGATGGTACTCTCCTGCACAACGAGAACGAGGCAAGCTCACAGGAATCGACTTTGTTGGTTTGGCTTGAGGAACGTTTGGTCTGTCCGGGTTCTTGTCGTCCGCCTCGAGCACAGGGTATAGTTCAAGCGCTCCTCCCCACTATGAACGAAGTGGATAAGTTTCGGACGTCGTCGCATCTGGGCGGGAGTGAATACTGACCTCTGGCTTCCAAGCGGGCTCGTTCAGAGGCAGGTACAAGATGAAGCTGATTCGCCTCGTGCCAATCACGTCATCGTGGTTCAACAAGTAACATCCTTGACTGTATTCCGCGCAGCTCATGTCCGTCTTGGTACCACTCAACGGTCCACAGCCCGTCACCTGCTGCAGGAACGATCGAAACTGTTTCGAGTAGAGAGCGTCTCGTAGTTTGAGCAGGGTTGGCAAGAGCTTGAGCTCTGCTTCAGGCAGACCTGACAAGTTTGTGAGATCGCCTGTTTGGTTGATCTGTGGGCGTTGTCGTCAGAAACCCTCGGAGGGGCGTGTTGAGGCCTGAGCTTACCTTGTCTGTCCATCGAAGCACAGGTCAGTGACCATCCAGTAACGGCGAGAACAGCAGAATTTGAGCTCACAGATATCTGTCTCCTTCTCGGTAAAGCTCAATTGCTGCACAATCTCGTCACGAGCTCGTTTCAAAAACGCTGGATCAAAAAGTTGCGGGATTACAGCATGCTTGTACGGTGTGCTCGCTCCGTGCTCTTGCCTCAGCTTGCTGACTGATGCTGATTCGAGCAGGCCAGTCGAGAATGGCATGCTTGGCGGCGTCGTAGCTACGTCGAGCGTTGAGTCGGCAGCTGCAGCTGCATCATTGGACGACGACAGCTTTGCTCGCTTCGCTTGAGGCTCTTCAATCGTCATGATGAACTGGTTCCGGTCGTGTAAAGACGCTCAAGTAGTAGTGTAGTTGAGCTCGAACGCAAGCTCAAGCCAAAAGTTGCTCCGCAGCCGCTTTGCGACTCTTCATAACAGTTTTTAACTTTGTCATCGTAACAGTGATACCGGACTCGAAAGCAAGCACCGGCTTCATAAATATATTCCAAGCCGTGGAATGGCAAAGGCTATGCTCAAGAGCTATTGAAAAGGTAAAAAAGAAAGAGAACCCTCACGCAAAGAAAAAAAATAACAGCGATCTCGGCGCGATTCGAACGCGCGATCTTCCGCTACCAAAACTAATGTTATAATAGGAGGCGGATGCCGTAAAGCCACTTGGCCACGAGACCGTTTCAAGTGCCGGAAATCTTTCTGGGTATACAATCTTACGCCAGCAAGTCCGCGGACTTATTCGATCCGACGGATCGCTACCGGGTAGGGGGTGATTACAAGCACAGGAACAATCGCGAATGGACGACCAAATGGGGACCA